ATATATATATATATAGCTTTGAAAGCACATATGGCTCATAACACTTGTGTTTTTGTGCATAGTTTTGCTAATGATCATAATCTTTCTAATCATATTTGTGGAGTTTGATTGATGTTGATGTGAATGCAGCCCTAAAAACATTAACACAAGTTAATGATTAAAATCGCAGTATATGTATGTGTGTCTGTCTTCATGTGTTTTTGAGAGTGAGAGAGAACACTGGTACATTTTGTGCCCTCCACAGCCCAGTCACTGCCAAACACATCAAATAAGATCGGTGTTGTTGTGTCTTTGGCTACTAACGGGCACCAGAAGGCCCTTTGTGGTTCCTTACTCCCCTTTTTCACATTTGTCCGCTCCATTGCATTTAAAAATAAAACAAGCCATTATACAGATCAAATATAGGAATTAGTGGCCTTTGAGCTGTATCTAAATTTTCCGTTTTGAATGTGGCACAGTATCCACATAGTAAATACAAAGTGTGTGCTGTATGGGACATTTTGTGCTCTACTTGGGGACAGAAAGGTACAAAGCAAAGCTGTTTCTGTCTCGTCTCAATATATTTTTAGCCCCCTTTATCATGCTGTTATGAACGTGATGTCATCGTACTGGACCAATCGAGAGCCAAGGGGCCGTCTCTCATGATCAAATTATATTATTCTTATCACAGAGGGGGTCGTAGAGAGCGCGCAAACACGGGGGGTTAGTCACATTTCCTTAGCACAATACAGCATGGCTCACATCGAAAAATCGTCTCTCCTCAGGAATGGGAGGGGGGTGTTGTTGGGGCCCTTCATCTCTTGGAGGGGTGTTGTGGGGCCCCTGTATCCCCATTACCAAACACGCTCCACAAGTCTTTCACTCAGCACATTTCAAAACAAGCACGTTCTGGCTCAGTTAGGGACCGTGCAAAAGCTCGCTTTCAAACACAGGACTGGCAAAGCACGCTCTGAAAAACTGTGCCTTGAAAACTACCCTAAGCCTCAGTCTGGCCCCAGTGAGATGAATGAAATGAAAGGAAGACGATTACAGCCTTTTTTCTTTCAAATTGCTATGGAGAAAAAAATAGCAAATGGAGTCTTGCATGAAAGGATGAAAGCAAGTCTTAATATCTAATGCATTTGTGCTTCTCAAGTAAATTTCTCGTGTTAAGGATATTTTAGGGATTTTTAAAAATGGAAAACATGACAAATATACTAAGTATTTCTTTCTTTCTTTCTTTCTTTTCTTGCTGTTTGGTCTTTGAACCAATGAATGCCATGACTAATTGTCAACTTCTATGTTTTCTATTTATTTTATTTTATTTATCAGTTTTCATATTTAGAGTGATTTGAACTATTTGTTCAGTCAAATTGTTCAATTTATTCAGTCTATGTATATGTTGGTAACACATATTTTGTGTCAGCTTTGAGGTTTACAAAAAATCTGCTAAAATTCACCTTCAGCAGACATACACATTTAAAGTTTTGTCTTTTGGAAAATCACAATAAAAGTGTTGCTGACTCATCCTGCATTACACAGCTTTATGTCCAATATAATTCTTTCTAGAATGAGAATGTTGCTCCTCTTTATACCCAGCACATACCACATACAATATAAAGTCACAACTGTGATGTAACTAAAAGCCCTTTGATTTGTCCTGCCCCAGCTTCCTAATAGTAAAGTCAATAAAGTCAGTAAATTTAATGGGGGAATCTATGAAGGATTCTATAAATCCCCCAGTATGGACTCATCACCTCGGTATGCCTCAGTCTGTGGCTACTGGGGCTTTCGGCACTTTGCCAAAACCTCCTGACAACAGGATCCTGTTCTGCCATTTCACTGATACCCACATGCAGCTTTTTCTGTATGTCCTCGATTCTTTCTCCCTGTCTCTCTTATTTTTCCCTGTCTGTATGTCTCTCTCTCTCTCTCTTTCTCTTTCTCTCTCTCAATAGACACAGTGCTTGTATTGTGAGGCCCGTTGTCTGACTAAAAGCTGTGCTAGTATCTGTAAACATGCTGTATGGTCTGGCCTCATGTCCTCAGAAGACTTTGATCTTGCATAAATTAACATAAGCACTGCTAAGTGTTTGAATTTTCCGTAATTACATTATTATCATGGGATCCTCATAGACTCGCCTGCTATTACTACCACTATCTGATAGCAGGAGCTCTGCGAAGCGTTGCCTAGAAGTGGTTCAGGTGTGGTGAAAATCACACAAGAGGCACACAATGATTCAAATTTAAAAAACAAAAAAAACAAAAAAAGTTGCTTTCTCAAAAAAGATCTGCTCGCCTGTAGAGTGTAAACAGTGTATTTCTATCTTCATGAATGATCCCTGTTATGGATTACATACATTTTTAGAGGTGTTTGCTGAGGCAAGCGATACTATGACTGTTGCTTATGCTGTGGTTTACCGATGTGAACAAACTTCTAACCATAAGTAATAAATTTAGGTCTTGCACCTGCAGTGTTTGTGCAACATACATGAATGATACCTCAAAACGTACAGTGTATGGCTTTTTGAGAATATGTGTGCTAGTACTTCTTTAAGCGATCAGATTTGGTGATTCAAGCTATGTAAAGTAAACAGTACAATGCAATAACTGTATAGAAACCCACTCAGAACACCCTAGCAACTACATAGCAACCTTTCAGAACCTAGCAACCACCCAGAACACCCTAGCAAAGGGATAAAAAAAAAGCCCTGGAAAACACCCAGAAAAACCTCTCAGAACACTCTGAATCAACTGCATAGCAACCACTCAGATCAGCCTAGCAACCACATGGCAACAATCCAGAACGCCCTAGTATCAACATGCCAAGATGCCTTAAAATCATAAAAACACCCAGCACATGCTAAAACCTCTCAGAACACCCTAGCAACTGCATAACAACATGCTAGAAGCATTTTAGCTCTAAGACCCTAGCAACCATTCAGAACACCCCATCAATGGCATAGAAAT